TTTAAAAATATATATAACATTTAATAAAACTGTGCGTTTCAAGTGCGACATTTTTTCATATGAAAAACACAACCTTGAAGTTTAGCTGAGATATGGCGGAGTTATTAAAAATTTTTTTCTCGCTGGACTTTTGGGACAGCCTGTAGATGTGTCGGTTTGTACAGCTAGCATTGGTTAAATCGATTGATTATCAGGCGATAAATCGCTAGTTGCATTGAAGAGAAATCCAGCAATCGTCTGATTATCAGATTTCCACTGTCTTTACTAAATAATTGTAATCGCGTAAAAATCTAGTAATCAAGATCAATCGAGAGAAAATAGATTTTTTTTATTATTGGGCAGCTTCTCTGATTAGTAGCAGCGAGTGTGATAGAGAACTCCGGGCGCTTTCAGAATATATAATTATTTTCTTAAGGCATGATGCTGAGGCTCCCTCATCGTCAGATTCCCCACTGACTGCATTTTTTTACTATTTCTTCAATTTACTTTTTAGATTTATCATCACGATAGAAATTGCTTTTTTAAAATTAATTATATATTTTGATAGCGCTTGAATTCTCTATCATCCTATATATTTATGTCTTATCTTACATTTATTTGATGGAAAATAATGTGAGTACAGCGAAGGTACCCCCAATTGACAAGTACTAAAAAGTTGCATTTTTTCGCCACTTTTTTAGTTTTCTCGCACACCATCTGTTCTAAAAGACCCTTTTCCAGACGACGAGAAAGAGCACATTCAGAAGTACAAAAAGAACTTACTTCTTAATTTTCTAATCCTTTTTTTACGGCAATAATAGTAAAAAAAAAAATGTTGTTTCTCTTTCTGAATATGAGCATCGGATAAATAAATATAAATTAAGACAAGTAGTTGGAAGGTAGTGGAAAGACGAGGAATGGGAGAAACTGATAGTGTGCTCATCTGCGCTGACTGAATTAGTATTTTTCAATATTCCTTGATTTCATGCAATAAAAAAAGATTAGATTAAATTTGTTCGTCTGATGTTTAATTTACAGTTGTTAGATATTTATACCAACTGATAGACTGGACATTGAACATATATTTCAGTACAAAAAATGTGAACATATTTTGAACACAACAACGTGAACGCAAACAAACATATTTTTCTAGATTTTAGTCAAAATAAAATACATAGTATTTATTATTGTCATGTATTCAAATATTTAATCATTTTTACATAAAGATTTTGCGAACTTTGATAGTTTTTATCAGCTAATTGAGTGTTACCAGTTCGATAATGATCATCACCTTTTTCAGTCCGATACAATGATACATCAATGGCTAATTTAAATAACAAACGCTCTTCTGTACTGAATACACCTTGCACTTTGTTGTAAGACTCAGACCATGATTTTAAAAATTGCAAATTGTCATCTGAACAGTATATATAGATTGAATGTAATCGTGGCAATGTATACACGATTGAAATAAAATTTCGAATATTGTCACCTGATAAGATTAACAAAATGTCTCTGGTGTTGTTTGAATGAATATACTCTGAACAAACATTGTCTTCATTAAAAAATTGTATCGGTAACTCAAGCTCTTGTTGTAGTCTATTTCCAACTTCCTTTGTATTTAAATCACTATTCAACCATAGAAGGGATAACAGCGTTTCATCACCTAGAAAAAGTAAAAATTTTATTAGAATTATTTGTAATATAATAATAACTCATCGTATGGTCAAAAAGAGAATTGATCAAAATTATACGATAAACTATACGATACATGATTTTAAGCAGAATACTATTTAACTTTTATTGATAAAGCTCGATACGAGATGTGTTCGAGTTTGTCTAGAAATATCTAGTTTTAGATCCTGTGCTCTCGTAATTTCAGTTATTTTAATGTCATTGATTTATTTAATTTTCTTTCTTTTCATTGAATGTTTTGAAATATCTGGAAACTCATCATTAACACTATAAAAATTACAATGAACGCTGAATAATTTTTCCATGCACATCTACACGATACAGAAACTGATTAATATACTACATACTAGAGCTACGGATGGATTGCACTGGAAACGTTTTCAGTTCATGGAATCAGACTGGACTGGACTCAAACGTTCAAGACCACCGACTGGTCTGAACTTGAAAAAAAAATTTGGATTCACTTGAATCCATGGAAAAAGTTGAATTAAGAAAAAACATGTTGTTTTTGTATTGTAGACTGGGCTAGACTGCTTGTTCAGAGTCCATGGACTGAAAAAAACTATTTTTCATGGACTCGGATTGGACTAGACTCAGAATTTTCAGTCCATAAGAAGCTCTGCTACATCCACGCAGTACACAAGGGACATGAAGTAAAGCGGTTATGTTATTTATTATGTGTGTATATTAATCTGTTTTTGTATCATGTGTATGTGCATGGAAAAATGATTCTATGTTCACTGTAATTTTCATAGTATTAATGATGAGTTCTCAGATAGTTCGAAACGTACGTTGAAAAGAACATTAAATAAGTCAGTGACATTATAATAGCTGAAATTACGAGAACACAGGATTTGAACGTAGATATTTCTAACAAAACTTAATTACATCTCGTATTAAGCTTTACCAATAAAAGTCGAATAATTCCGAACCTCAAATCACGACAGAATACCGCCGGCATACCACGAGGTATTTTTTAAAATACCATCCTGAAAAAACGAATATCACCACTAATTTTTCAATGTTTTCAATTTATTTGTAAACTGGCTGTCCGTTGGAGATGATGCCCATTCTAAGACTATAGCATTATGTAACTCGAGTCAGAGTGCATGTGCTTGAACCAGTTAGAGTGAGTAAACTTAGGAATAAGCTATAAAGTTTACATCTCGAAAGTAAAAGGCAAAAGCACTCTGGAAATAGGTATAAACTACATATCGTTGTAAACTGTAAATATGATTAAATATGTAGCTAACACGATATAAGAAGTTGACGCAGCATTTTATAAAAAACGAAGTGTTGAAAAGAAACAAATATAGTAATGCTTCATCATAATGGCAGAATCTAGTTAGACACAATCATGCAATAAGCAAACAGTTCAAATGAGATAAGAAGTAGTGAAGTATTATTGTTCATTCACCGTTATGACTTCTATCTTTTGATTGAGAACATGTGTTTTCGTAGGGATCGAAGTGAGCCATTAATCGACTTGACGAAGATGTGGTGGTTGCACGTTCGTTACTTTCTCTTCTATTGATTTTGTCTTGTTCACCGATCAGTTTTTCCTCGTCGGATAAAGTTTGCTTACTGATTAGCATGAAGCATTCAAACAAACTTTGAACAAGAACGAGAAGTCTTAGTAGCAGAGAGTTTACAAATGGATACTTCCGCACAGGTCCGCCCACTTTACACACGACTTAAAGCCGGGAGGGTCTGACTATTTGCAATCGATAGTCCTACTAAAGGTATGTAAAGACCCCTGTCGCCCCATGGAAAAATTATTCCGAACATGGTTTTTTTCGCGGTCATAAGTTCTGAATTGAAGCATTTTTAGAGGTGTCTGAGTAGCGAAATTTGACTTTATCTAATAGTATCAAGCGTTCTCATACTGCTAGCTGGAAAGAGCATACAAAGTTGCATATTTTGATCCGCAAATGAGATTTTCGCCACTGAC